GTGTGTGTGTGTGTAGGAGAGAGAGAGAGAGAGAGAGAGAGAGAGAGAGTATGATGAGAAAATCAGAGAATAAACAAGAAGGCATACACACAATCCAATGTCCCTTCTCACGATGGTTAGTGGGGATGAACCACGTCCCAGAAGTATAATGCACTGTGTTTCATTGCATATTTTTTTGATAACTTATTTCCGTTCAAATTTGTTACTTTGTTGGTTCACACAGGTCGAACTGGAAGAGCTGCTAGGAAGGGGGAAGCAGTGACATTATACACTGAAGCTGATGTCCCTCTTTTGCGCAACATAGCAAACCTGATGGTGGCCTCTGGTTGTGAGGTCCCTTCATGGATCCTCGCATTGCCCAAGCTGAGGGGGAAGAAGCACCGACCTCAACGTGAGCACATATCTACCTTGCCAGAGGATCAAGCAATTATAAAAAGTGGCAAAAAAAGGGTGCCCAGGAAATGAGTTATGCAAAAAGAGGCAAAGAAAGTAGAGCCTAGCAGGTGAGGCTTTTCTTCTGTTTTTTTAATGAATTTTGTCTCTTGATGCAGATCAGTACCATTAGTTTGAAATGTTTTGTGCAGATCAGTACCATTAGTTTGAAATGTGTGCTATGTAAAATGGATAGCTATGGTATATGTTAAATACTGATAGAGTTTTGGATGGACAGCCATTGAGTTCTCATTTCATAAAGCTGATTTTTTTTAGCATTGTTGTCTGAGCGGGAGCTGTAAATAGAGGAATCGTGTTAAAAAATTCTGTGTGTATTTGTTATATTTTTGGAACAGATTTACTTTAATTATTGGGTGATATATTACTACAACCATGTTGGAATATTTGATGATAAACTGTCTTATCTGCTCTTTGTTGATGTGTTCTATGAGTTCTTTATCTGGGTTTTAAATGGCCCCTTCTGTTTTTCTCTTCGGGTCTTCCTTCCCTGTTTAATACTTCAATTTCTATTATTTCTTTCAGTTCAGATCTTGGTCTCTCTCTCTCCATTCATATTCGCTCTCGCACAATATGCATTCATATTCTCTCTCGCACAAGAAACTTTTCTTGTCTTTTTTTTTTCCTTTGGTTTGTTGCTTCCTATGTATTTGGTTCTCCCTATTTCAATTTTTTCTTTATTTTTTCCTTTTCATTATTGTATTTTGTAGTTGGGTGGGACTGATGAAGTCAATCCATATCCGAATTTCAGATTCGGATAGTCAAAGCATGCATATGCTATTCCCTTTCCTTCTATATGGAACTATTACATATTATTTTAGATCACATACACACCCAAAAGAAAACAAAATAAAAAATATGAATATGTTGTTGAAGGGAATTCTGGTCTCACAAATCGAAAGTTTATTTAGACCCTTCCAGTGCGGTGTCATGGCCAGTGCACGGTTGACTGCGGCATTTCAGCATTGACAGCTCCGATATAGAATAGCTGTGTCGCACTCAAAATGATGACGAATGCTTCCAATGTCCACTGTAAAATAAATGAGGAAATAAATTTCACATATAAATAAAAAATCGATTAACTTTGTTCATATTGTCCGCTACAAATGAGTTAGGAAAATCATCCATGTTTGAAAACAATAATAATAATCTAGAGAAGATATGGTGACTTATGGTCTGACTAAAGGTATGGTGGATAGCATCTAAACTGTCCATCTCCAAAATAGACAGCTATGGATGCTAGTAGCCTGCCACTATTGTTATGGAAGGATCACTTATTGGTGTCCATATATTAAATTCAGCAGTTCAAATACTCTGCTTTGATTCTCACTTTTGACACAAAGATAAAAATGATTCAGATTTTCAAAATAGGAGATTCATCAATCAGACACTTGGGTCATTCTAGTTCACTTACAAGGGTTTCATTTCGACCTCCAATGTTGATCTCCTTGCATGCAAGCCTGCCATGAGTACACTATTCAGAATTCCACTCTTGAAGAATTAGAAAAGTAAATTCTTATACATTTTCTTTCATTTTTATTAGAATAAAATCTCTAAAATATTACCCTTTTCTACAATTGCCTGGTGTGCTCAACAATGAGCAAATATTATACTATTCATTTCTTTTCATATATCAAATTTCTTTTATGGATTTTTTTTTCTGCTAGGTCAGCATAGTAAGGATTCATTCATTCATTTTCCCCATTTTCCTTTCTTTACTGAAATTTACTTCTTTAATTTCAGTTTACTGGTTTTAACATTCTTTAGTTTTTGATCATCTTTAACAAAACAGAGAGTTGTGGGCAGAGGTTATTAAGGTGGCGGGTGCCACAACATAATGTCTAGATTTTTGTTGTCAGTAGGTCCTAAGTTAACATTCAAAAAAGAACAAAAAAAGAAAAAGAACAAACAAAAGGGACCAAGAGGCCCAACTTAAATCAACCAAACCCTCATTGCATGTGAATGCTTCACAGCCTGATCTCTAGCAGCTCATCCTCATTCATGACCAGGGATCAAGGATCCCTGATGAAATTTAACTGAGCTTTCGAATATTTATTAGAGTTGGTAAATAGTTAGCATCAGCATTCACATGCAATTTGAATGGTAAGCCTTCAAGTTGGGACTCACTGGGGTCCTGAGCCCGAATCAGCATCTTGACTTTGCAGGGTCTTAATAAATTAGCAATAAAACCTTGGCACTGGCAAACTCGGCCTGTTCCCAAGGTTTTTGGTTTTCTTCTGAACTGGGTGGCCTTTCAGATCGAACTCGCCTACTTTTTTGAACACTGAATGATCATGATAGGTACTTACCCCATGGCTAATAAAGTGAGGCCCCATGTCACGATGGCGGATGATGAGGCCAATGCCAGATTGTTGAGATCCCATTCCTTCATCATGCTAAGCATTCCACTGATCAAGCTCCCAATGCCTACCACTCCAGCTATCAAAGCAAAGAGTACAAACAATCCTGTTGCCTTGTTTCCCATTGGATAGTAGATGGGAAATAGGTGTGCCGGCAGAGGTTCGGCAGATGCTGCAACAACAAGATTGTCATGATGCTCATTCCACCATGGACACAGATAAAATATCTATGTATGCATATGTATCTGTTACCATGATTATGCATAAAATGTAAATGTATGCTATATACAAATATACATGCGCAACATCTATATGCATCCTTTCCACCACAAACACATATATAAACATATGCACACATACACATGCATGTGTCTGTTACCATGGTCATACATAAATGTAAATATATGAATCCATATGCAGAGATAACTTGTATATGGACCCACATGTGTGTATCTTTGGGAAAATATATGATTTTACATGTTTGTGCCTTACATGGATATGGTTTTTTGCATATGTTGATACATCACGGATACGAAACCCGTGTCAAAGACCTAGGTACTTAATTTTTTTCCTTTAAATTTCATTATAAATGTACCTAATATCATCTAAATTCTCATCTTCCCCATTTTCTAGATGGGTTATGGAAGTGTCGTGTTTGAAAAGATAATTTGAAAATTGGCATTTGCTACACTCGTATCCATGTCAGACATTAATACATGTATTCCACATCTATGTAACAAAGATAACACATCAAGAAACATGTGTTTTGTTCGACTATTTCAAAAAAAAAAAAGGATTTCTGTTATATAAAAAGAACATTGCTATTCCTCATAATAAATTCTTGAAAAGCTTTTAATGTAAAAAATTCCTCATTTACCTTTGATGTAAGTGTTATCAATGCCATAGTTGATTGCCCAGCCAGCAATTATAACGACTATGATATACATGATTAGGTTGAGGCCGAGGAGGGAGGACACTGATGGCTTCATCCCCCTGATACAAAAATTACCAACTGGATTGGCCTAGGAACAATATTTCTTGAAATCAGTTTGCTGTTGCGTGCAATTTATATGAGGTTATGAAGTGAATTGTGAGCTAGTATTCACTCTAATTTAGTTTTTTGCTGCTTGTTTTGAATGTTTTGAGAACTTTGACTTGGGTGGCAAGAAAGGAGTCGGATGCCATACATGCTTCAGTGTAGGGGGATTCTTCTCTTTTTGCTTGGGAGGGAGAAGAATCTCCTACTTTACAGCTTGACTGTAGAGAAAGAGAGAGGAGTATATTATTTCCTCATAGTTTGATATTTGTAAGCTTGACTGTAGAGAAAGAGAGAGGAGTATATTGTTTCCTCCGAGTTTGATCTTTGTGAAAGAGAGAGAATTTCATTTTCTTCGCATATTTTGATTATATCTTTTCCCCTTTGAGTTTCATAAGAGAGGTAGAGAGAGAGAGATTCATTTCCTTTGTATATTTAGCCCATGGTTAGGGAGAGACGGGAGGGGGAGAAGGAGGGATTGGAGAGAGAGAGTACTGCATATCCTTTCCTAAATTGACTCGCATTGTTAGACAATAAGCCAGACACAAGCTTTCAATTAGTTACAGTTTCGTAGGTAAAAACTCTTGTGGAGTTTTCAATGCACTTCAGAAATGAAAAGGAAACGCTTTTCATATCATTAAAGTGTATTTCTAAGGTTTAAACGAAAGTTACTGGGATTGGAATGGTTGTCGAACCAGGGATTAGTACAGTCAAAACAGATTCAATTGTTGGTCAAACTGATTGGATTATATTTTAACAAATTAAAAAAAATTATAGTTTAAAATATGAAATATATTAAAAAAAAAAAGTTTTTCAACTTTATTTAGGTAGTTAAACTGATCAGAACAAGATGGTCCAACCACCAAAATTTAGAAAATGTTAAACTTTGATTGCTTTCAGCTCAACTAAGCTTTTACTTTAGATCAGAGTAATCAAAATCAAATCCCTAGGTAGTTCGACTGGATGGACTCGGTCTTCGAACTTGGGTATTCGTTATTGAGGGAAGATTATATGCTCCCATAGGGAAGTATTTGTCATTGAGGGAAGTTGTGCATTTGCTTCCTCGAGCAATACCCTAAAGTCGGAGTATTTAGCATCCTTTTGATGTCACCTATGCAATCTTGCGACCAACATAAATAAGATAGGATTGCGCACAGACCAATCAAGGAGAGATCTAAGAGTTAAAGGTAATAGTTATGAAGCCCGAATCATACCACTTGGTCAGCCCGGCCGGACTACCGATCAGTGCATTGGATAAATTGCTCCAAAATAAATATGGATTACCGGCCGGTGCATTGGATAAATTAAATACTTACTTTGGTAAAATACTAGTCAAAATTAGTCGCTTACTTGTTTGGTGGTTGGACTATTTGGTTTAGACCGGTTCGATGGGCTAAATAAAATTGAGAAAAAATTTTCTCGTATATTTTATATTTTTAAACTATTATTTTTTTGGTACAATTTGTATAGAACCTAGGTTATAAACAATCAAAATAGAGTGTGCCTTCAAATAGTATCAAGAAATGTGGTTTCAATACTATAAATCGTTATGATAGTTTTAAAATATATTTTTATCTTTAATTATAAAATTTTAAATATTCAATAATAATGTAAATTGAGCTGATCTATAAAAACTTGAAAATCTTGAAAATTGATGGTCCAAAAAAGCATTACAAGATGCACTATTTCCAAAACTTGAAATCCATGTTTTTTTTTCATGTCCATGCATGTCGAGATGATCAATTTGAGGATATTTGGGCATCAAAACAATCTCTTCTAATGAAATTTTTGATGTGGGGTCGAATTTGATTGTTTAGAGCCTCGGTTCTATATAAACTCTTTCTTTTTCTTTTTCTTATATCTTATAAAAAACGGTTCCAAACAATTCGACCCCAATTTTGATTGGACCTGACCCTTGTTGGCGAGTCCAATCTTGGTAACAATAATTCACGATATCCTTTTCGGAAAACATAAATTCCTTGTCAATATAAATATAAAGTAGATCAATGCAAACTTTGCTCCCGCACTAGCGCAATCTTAATCACCAAAGGTTTTACTAGTCCTGTGGGAGTGTACTGTGCATTTGCTCCTCAAGTAAAACTCAAGCTTAGAATATTTTGGGGACCATAGATTTGGAGATGCAACTTTTATAGCCTAAGAACAAACCTCAAAGAAATTTGAATGGGAACCATTGGACGGCTAGATCGAGGTGTTCAAGAGCTCAAATCCAAATTTTTGCTTAAAATACTCCTTTGGTAATACATGTATCCCAAAATTGCGGATCAAAGATCTTCTCCTGAGTAGCTTTTTTTCCCGAGGGAGCTGTTATACAGTATATTGTCCCCCGGGAGCATACTGTACGCCCTCAAGATCATCGATGCATTATGACATGAAATGATACTATGGTGTACCACGAATGGCTATAATAATCACCTCAAAAAAAATTTCCTAGGACAAGATGTACCATCAACCCCAAGTCCTAAACAGCACCCCTGCCCTTCTCTCACATGCACATGTACGTCATTGGGCTATTATTATTTGAGATTAGCCACACGCATATAATGTGTGCAGCTAGAAATCTTCAATCATTTGATTTTGATCAAACAACTAGGAGTGAGCTGAAAATAGTGTCAATCAAGTTTGTCCGGTCGTAAGTAATACATGACAATATTGTTGGTTCGTTATCTGCCATCAGATCAATATCAACTTATTAATTATCTTCAAACACATAAGTTATATACCAGAGACATAGAGAAAGCTCGATGTTTTGAAGGTTACTGTTAGCACGAGGCCCTCAAAATCCATCTATTCTACGGATTGAGAACTCAAAAACCATTCTATGCCCTGCAATTCCATTTTTGTCTTAAACTGGTGAAATCCGAGTGTTCTAGATGTGTTGAGATAGAGCATATTGAGATAGCATGCAAGATGAACACTTCTAAAGCTCAACTCCATTTTTTTTTTTCTAAGATTTTAATATTGGGGGATCAAGAGGTTGAATTTGCATATTTTTCCATCTTAAACTTCCAAAATATCCCATTGACTTACCCAATAAATATATATATATATATATATATATATATATATAGAGAGAGAGAGAGAGATACC